TATATAGAGCTTGCTGGGAAAATTGTATTTACGCATTTTGCTGGCTGGGAAAATTTTTTTGAAAAAATTTGCTAGCTGGCACTGTGGAGCGGTTATTTTTTTCCCAGGGAAGTTAATAATTGACCATAATTAGCGTGGGAAGACTTGGCGAGTGCATAGTACATCATATCAATCGATTTTGGGAAAATGGGTCGTCGGGTACTCTTGGAACGTTACTTTTCACTGCCTTACACGCTGTCCCTTGTGGTCCAACAATATGTTTATTCAAAACACTCGATACCTAGTTGAATAACATCAATTCCTGGTGACCATGATGGCCATTATTGATATCATCATTACCTTCTTTGCCCGTATTACCATCTTTTCCATCCTTGCCTTCTTTGCCAGGACTTCCCGGCTGTCCATCACGACCATCTCGCCCTGTTATAAATAACAATTGGAGAGGACAGTCTTATTAGGTCTTAGTAACACAGGTCAAAAACGAACGTACCGTTTAAAAGAAAGAAGAAGAGAAGAGAAGAGATTATGATGACCAAATGCTCACGTTTTAACGAGCTGCATGTTTTTCGTAACGTGAGCTTAATTTTTAGTATTTACAGTAAATATTAAAATTTTAGTTGACTGATTTCATAAAAGGTTTTTTAAAGAGAAGATAGACCGAAACTTGCCCCATCGACGGCTCGTGTTTCAGAGAAACAATAAACAAACAATATATGGCATTTCCTTTCCTAACAACACGTGAACAACAGACTTAACTTGCAGGACTAAGGGGCAATTATCAAATCAAGCTGCCAATGGCAATAACAGTTTCTCTTTTAATATTCTTATTTAAAGAGTTAAAACAACATATTCAACATTTCTGAAACTTTCATGGTACTGTAGAGACATTTTTCTATTCGAGAAAAATCTCAACCAGCACGGCAGACACGGCGGACTGCCGGTCACACAACATCGAAATCCTAAATGACCGGCAGCTCATAAAAGAACAGATTTCTCTTTTATTATTCTTATTTAAAGAGTTAAAACAACATTTCTGAAACTTTCATGGTGCTGTACAGACATTTTTCTATTCGAGAAAAATCTCAACCAACACGGCGGACTGCCGGTCACGCAACATCAAAATCCTAAATGACCGGCAGCCTATAAAATAACAGATTTCTCTTTTCATGCATATTTTATTATTCAAATTTAAGAGTTAAAGGATTATTGCCAGTGTCAGTACATTACTCTATCCGAGAAACATCTGCATTCTTTACTAGGATTACAGTTCATGTTCAGAGGGTTATGCTGTGTGGCAGACAGCTCATATCTGTCATATGCAGTGGAATCATTATCCTGATGAGAGACTGGGAAAAAACAAATTTTATGGGCTGCCGGCCATTTAGCATTTTCAAGACCTTGACCGGTAACCGGCCATATAGACACAGCGTATTTATTAACAAAAACATGTAATAAGTGATCTTGTTATATTGGTAAATTATTTTCACTGTTTTCTCGCTCTCTTATTGGACGATTCGGTGTCACGTGTCCGGAGCTAAAATCAACTGTTGACTGATCGGTCAACAGTTTGACGATTGTTGACCGCTTGGCGGGAAAAGGCCGCCTCGCGTCGAGTAAAAGTTTGTAAAGGCGGGAATGGTTTTTGCTTCGACTGTTTACAAAATGGAGCCGGCATCAAAACAGATTTTCAAATCTTAGTCAAGAAATAGACGAAATGGTCAACAAATGGTTGTCAACAAAGACTTGGAAAACACTAACAAAGCTACAAAGACTGCTTTGGCTACGACTCTGATAGAATTCTGCAGACAAACCAAGAGAGAAACGGTGAATTTGGACAAATGTCACGTTAAATTTCTATTCAGGAACTCATTGACTGTTTCATTCATAAAGTTTTGCTAGTTTTTTGGCATTTGTATATTTTTATTAGTTTTATTTTCAAGCACAATGTAATCTAAACGCTTAACATCTTGCTATTTTGTCGCGGCGGTCAAATACTATATTTACGGGAAACATTGAGATTCTCGGGAAACAAAACTAACCGTTCTCTTGGGAACAGTCATTAAGTGTATAATAAAAAATCATATAAGATCAGAACAATATTGGGAAAAAATGCAACTTACCATTTAAATTGGATAACAAAAAATATTATATTATTAACCGGAATTATTTGACATCGATTTCCCGGTCATTCCTTGTTATTTTGCGACTATGCCTACCGGTCCAAGATGGCTCCCAAAACTGTCACCTCATCTATCCACAGCATATAACACAGGAAACCCATCTAGGTGAACCTGATTTATTTACCGATCGCAAAAATTAAAAGAATTTCTTAAAAACCAAATTTTATTCAGAAACATGTTTGTTATTATTAGGAGAAAAAGGAGAAAAGAAAAGAAAATCTCCAAAACATATAAAAAAATGTTCTGGCACCACCAACTGGACTCAAACAGCGGACCGGCTCGCTGTGCCATCTGTCATTTCATTAAAGTGGCACCGTGGCCGAGCGGTTTAAGGCACTGGACGATAAGGCGATGTGTGGCGAAATCGATATCCTGTGGGACGTCAGGTATGAATTTAATTTGCATAGCTAATTACAGAAAAATGCATAGGGAGACCGTGAAGACGAAAATAAATATTACCTCATAGTTACTATAGCAACAAAGCCAGTTTACAGGAAAGTGAGTGAGTGAGTGACTGACTGACCGAGTGTCTTAGTGATTGACAGATAGTTCACCTACAATAACTCTTCGATTGCTAACACAATCTCCAGTTAAAAAAGGTTCGAGGGGTGTGCCACATGACTGCTTTCAACGACACTTCTCCTAAATGTTCTCCAACAATGAAGTTGAACATGTTAATGAGATTTTAAAATTAACAATTGGTAGAAATACATTGAAACAATCTTAGAGGCGATCCATTAGACTTTTGAGTAGAGAATAGAATATATTCTGTTGGTCCAAGAATTTTTTTTGGACTTCAGGCGCGTGCTTGCAATTTTTTTTTTTTTTTTGTAAATTTACAAAAGCTTTAGTGGAGATTTTTCAAAATTTTGTCTTCCAGGATTTTTGTTTTTGTGCATAAAATTTATTTTCAAAGTCTTCCATTCCTCCCTCAAAAGTCTAAATGGATCGCCCCTTACCTCGCAGCTCATTCTTTTGACTATTTTCAAGAGCTTTTATCCTGAAAGAAATTTTTGTTCAGATTAAATAACAATAAAAACTGCAAAACGTTGCAGCACGTAATGCGTAAACAAACACTCGCACTGACCGATTCATAGCTCAGGCATATAGTGGAATTTAAACGTGAGAGAAGCAGAAGACTAGCGTATTTACGTTTAAATTCTACAATATATCTGAGCTATGAATCAATCTGTGTTCGAGTTTTTGTGTTTGCATACTGCAACATCTTAAAGTCCTTAAAAACTCGGATATACTTTGCGCATTCAGAAAGTCGTTGATTCAGAAAATCGAATTTTGACCCTCTTATTTTTATACTTTTTTCAAAATAAATACGATTTTCCTAAAGCTTAAATATTACAGTTTATAAATCCAATGAATAAATTAGCAAAAAGGTTCAAATTGGGGTGCTATTTTTAGTAGGGCATTGTTTGGGGCGTGATCACCGGAAGTTGATAGACGCTTTTGTATGCAATGACTTTGATATGCTTTCTTACACCTTGCTTACAGCTTCTAACTCTAAGTTATACAAAATGTGAAACTTTCTATATAGTGAATAAATAAATAAACTCTTTATTTTGAGAGGGTAGCACGTAATAGTCTCTAGATTAGCCATCGTCGTTTTAGCCGCTCGGCCATTATTGCTCCCCTCAATATCTTATCTGAATATCTTACTAGGCAGAATGACAGGTAATTGGCAGGCTGCATTGCAATATGATTGGTTATAATATACGTTTGACATACTTTAGTTTGATTTACAAATGAGGTGTTCAGCCTCAGCTGAGGACGAAAGTGCTATGCCTTGAGAAATTAGGACGGAAGATAGCTCTAATAGAGAACTAACTTTCTATCAAATTAAATTGAAGAGATATGCAGAATAACGAAGCTAAAGGGCTTCAAACTAGCGAAGGGTGTTTAGGGTGTTCTCCGAGGTACAAGGAGAGGTCTACTTGAAATGGGTGTAACTTTTCAGCAACGTATAATAAACGACGTGGAGATTTCCCAGTAAATGAAAGGGGAACTCAAATAAGTGCCTTATAGTCTCGTATTGTAAAACTTGGTTCCTCATGCTGAAGCTTATGGAATATTCGAATTATGATAAGACAGATTAGGAAAATGTGAAAGCTACTACAAAAGCTACTACAAAAATTTATGAGTATACGAGAAGTGCTAATTAATGTTATTTCATAAATGTTGTCTCATAACAAATGCATGCAATCATTCAACGCCAAAATAAACTAGATTTACTATATGTAGATTTTTGTTTTTCCTTTTTCATATATTCAGTACTTTTACTCTCGGCATTGCTGTTTTTCATGAGAATGCCCTAGTGACCGATCGCAAAGTTAATCATTCATAATGAACTTTCATATATATGCATATGGACTTACTCCTTCTCTAGATTAGCAAGACGTGCTTCAAATTGATGCGGGTAAATACTTCTGGTTTCAAGCTCAACATCGCTTTGTGTCTCTTCGTTGCTTTCATCGGTAAAGACGACCGAAATCAGAACACAAAAAACAAGTACTTTAAACACAGCCATCGTGGTGACTTAATAACGAGTGGTGAACGAGTGGTCATATTTTAAAATCAAAGGGCGTTCATCACATGGCCTCTTCTCAATGGTCGATCGATATGTTGTTACGTCATACCACCTTCATGTGCTTTTTCTCAATTGGTGATTTTACATTTCGGGATATATCACGTGATCCATCGGACGTGGTTAATCTGCATATATTGCCATAATTGTCTAGTTCATTATGACATCACATCGAAACATTCTTTGTTTTAACGCTAAGGATTATGGTCGCCAGAAGGGATCAGAGTGACTGGCTTCATTTGAAATAAAATATACATGAACAATCATTTATACATGACATATATCAAAACGCGATTCATTGAAGTTCTACTTTAGTCGACAATATAAAATGGTCCAAATTTCCACTGTTTTTGAGCATCGTTTTCCGATGTAAACATACTGTGACGTCATAATGAAATAGNCCTTCCCAAGCAGTCATCCTCGGGATTGAGAATGAGGTATTCTCAGCTTGCCCTCAGATGCTTTGTCAAGAGAAGAGAGAGTTAACAAAGTACTGCTGACACAGTTCAACCACCCAAGACGGGCAGTATCCCTTCCCAAGCAGTCATCCTCGGGATTGAGAATGAGGTATTCTCAGCTTGCCCTCAGATGCTTTGTCAAGAGAAGAGAGAGTTAACAAAGTACTGCTGACACAGTTCAACCACCCAAGACGGGCAGTATCCCTTCCCAAGCAGTCATCCTCGGGATTGAGAATGAGGTATTCTCAGCTTGCCCTCAGATGCTTTGTCAAGAGAAGAGAGAGTTAACAAAGTACTGCTGACACAGTTCAACCACCCAAGACGGGCAGTATCCCTTCCCAAGCAGTCATCCTCGGGATTGAGAATGAGGTATTCTCAGCTTGCCCTCAGATGCTTTGTCAAGAGAAGAGAGAGTTAACAAAGTACTGCTGACACAGTTCAACCACCCAAGACGGGCAGTATCCCTTCCCAAGCAGTCATCCTCGGGATTGAGAATGAGGTATTCTCAGCTTGCCCTCAGATGCTTTGTCAAGAGAAGAGAGAGTTAACAAAGTACTGCTGACACAGTTCAACCACCCAAGACGGGCAGTATCCCTTCCCAAGCAGTCATCCTCGGGATTGAGAATGAGGTATTCTCAGCTTGCCCTCAGATGCTTTGTCAAGAGAAGAGAGAGTTAACAAAGTACTGCTGACACAGTTCAACCACCCAAGACGGGCAGTATCCCTTCCCAAGCAGTCATCCTCGGGATTGAGAATGAGGTATTCTCAGCTTGCCCTCAGATGCTTTGTCAAGAGAAGAGAGAGTTAACAAAGTACTGCTGACACAGTTCAACCACCCAAGACGGGCAGTATCCCTTCCCAAGCAGTCATCCTCGGGATTGAGAATGAGGTATTCTCAGCTTGCCCTCAGATGCTTTGTCAAGAGAAGAGAGAGTTAACAAAGTACTGCTGACACAGTTCAACCACCCAAGACGGGCAGTATCCCTTCCCAAGCAGTCATCCTCGGGATTGAGAATGAGGTATTCTCAGCTTGCCCTCAGATGCTTTGTCAAGAGAAGAGAGAGTTAACAAAGTACTGCTGACACAGTTCAACCACCCAAGACGGGCAGTATCCCTTCCCAAGCAGTCATCCTCGGGATTGAGAATGAGGTATTCTCAGCTTGCCCTCAGATGCTTTGTCAAGAGAAGAGAGAGTTAACAAAGTACTGCTGACACAGTTCAACCACCCAAGACGGGCAGTATCCCTTCCCAAGCAGTCATCCTCGGGATTGAGAATGAGGTATTCTCAGCTTGCCCTCAGATGCTTTGTCAAGAGAAGAGAGAGTTAACAAAGTACTGCTGACACAGTTCAACCACCCAAGACGGGCAGTATCCCTTCCCAAGCAGTCATCCTCGGGATTGAGAATGAGGTATTCTCAGCTTGCCCTCAGATGCTTTGTCAAGAGAAAAGATTGAAAGATATATGAAAGCCAAATTTGATATTATTGAAATTTGGTTACTATATACCAAAAAGTCTGTACCGGAACATCAAACATAAACACAATTTTCTAAAGTAGTAGTAGCAGTTTATTTTTCAAATGTTGGTCGAAATGCGGTGCCAAAAAATGCATTCTGAAGCATTTCACAGTGCTCTAGTTTAAACACAGCCCATAAATAGCAGTCTATGTCATGCAATCATCTTCAAATGCTTTGTTAAAAACTGATTTCAAATAAAATATATGGTCAGGGTATTTCTTATCCAACTATCTTAAAATCGTCCTGGTACTTCATAAGACCTAATAGTCTTACCTTCTTCTCCTTTGGGCCTTGTTGCTGTGAAAATGATAGAGAGTAGTAATTAACATAGCATAATAGAAGCACCTGAAAAAAGTTTTAATGTGATATAATAAATGAAGCTTTTAATCTATCTTCCAATCATTTCAAAATTATACTATTTCATTCATGCAATCCTATTTCAATTCTTGTAAATGCATATTACTTTTTAAAACATGCTCGACAATCAGTAAGCTTTTTCAATATGCTATATAATTGTATGTACATGTAAGTATGTATATATGATATTTACTTCCTCTATTTCTCTTTCAAACCTTAAAGGGTTTCGACTTGGGTTTMGACACTGGTACAGTTCAGCAATCTCAATGGCTTTTGCCCATCAACCTTGGCCATAAAAGAAGTTCTCACTTTTAGAATGATCGAACGACTCTTAAAAAAACGTGCCCAACCCACTTGGGACACACTCACTTCCAGTCTCCAGTGTCTTTTTTCTCTTTTCTTCCCATCTCTTTGTCCTCACAACTGTTTTTAAAATGTAGTGTATATGGAATTCAACTCAAAAGTATATWTCATTAATTTGTTTTGACACACTTCTCTTGGCCCGATTAACTAAAAGATMACAGCTCCGAGACTTTTGCAATTTGAAAATGACTGATTGTTGCCTTGGAAGAGTTGAAAGAGATCCGTGAATGTGAGAAACTTGATAGTTTTCAACATAGGTCTGACTTATGCAGAATTCAGATCAAGTGACAGTTTGCGTGATGTAAATAAATATAATATAACTTTGAATAGGAGCATGAGAAAAGGAAGGAGAAAAAAAGGAAACAGAATTATATTCGAGTTCCTTATAAATATACTTTTTCAAATACATTTCCATTCTTTGATAAATCCTAGACCCAACTTATAAAAAGGCGCGAAGTTACCTCTATTTATATGAATATGAAAACATCAGTCATAAATACAACTGCAGTAACTGGGAATAAATGTGAATTAATTATCCCATATGAGTTTATGATTGGTATAGAGCTAATAACAAATGACTTTATGGGTAATTTCCTACATTGGAACTCTTGAAGCTTACATAGGTAAAAACCAAGTTTATTATGATCAAGAACGCTGAATGGTGGTTACCTTGTGTTATAGCGTTACGACCTTAGAGGTCAAGWTACGACTTAATCAGTTATCCAGGAGTTATAATACATCACTGAAGAAGCCGCTTTATATTTTAAAGCAAAGAATTAATACCTTTCACTTTCCAGTATATACAGGAAAATTATTGAAACGTTTGTCGAAAAGGTCGCCGTTACCTAGTTCAGAAGTAGATCAGAATTAGTTAGAATTATTCCTCTCCTGGAGTTGAAATGCTGAAAATAAAGCGAGTCCAATATAAAACACACGTGCACATTTTATTAATAAACATAATAAGTAGGCTACTACATAACGAAGTTTATAAACAAAGATGAATCCAGCATATGGACTTACGTTTTAGATCGATCTCATCTTCGAATCAGAGCAGGAAGATTCTTCGCCGATTCTTCTCTGGAGATGCGTTTAAGTTCGTGCACTGAAGCTCGCTGTTTCATGAGAACGTTGCTGCGGTCTCTAGTACACATCTCGGGTACTAGGTCGTACGGAGTCAGTGAGAGACAAAGTCCCAAACAGAGCAAACTTCAGAATCTTATGAGTTACGAGTACAGAAGGAGGTCTTTCTTACTCGGTACGCATATGCTTGTACCACGTGATAATATCACATTACATATGCTTCTAATAACATGTCATTCACTATGTCATTGACAACATTGACATGTCAACTTCAAAAACAACCGACCAATGCTATCGGCCTTTTTAGTCGGACTAGCCGAAGGCTAGGTCGACTTTAGTTTTGCTTTTTAGTCGGACTAGCCGAAGGCGGTCCGACTTTAAATTTACCTTTTAGCCTATCAATCAATCAATCTATCTATCTATCCATCTCATAGGCTACCCAACCATTGCTTGAGAGAAAGAAAAGAATGAATGCGCACGCTTTTATACTAGTATCGGCGCGCGCTCTAAGTGAAATGCGGATTACCTGTGGTATTACGTCACGATCCCGTGCCTCGCGGGATTCAAACAAGTCTGTGACAAGGTAGGTATGAAACACTGGTCACGTGATGGATCGATGTGCGCCCCAGAGGTAGCTTGTCTATCCCTCCCTATCGTTTTTTTTCGTATGGAATTCGAGAGCTTTCGTAAACAGTCGCATCGCTCGACATTTCTCCGATGGTCGACCGATAATGTCGCTCCCTTTCGTCGCTCCGTCGCTGCCAAATATTAGTTCACTGCCATAAAGTTGATCTTTCATTGATTTTGCTCGGGTTTCTTTGTAGTTTTTGTTGGAAACCTACATATCAATGTTTTGAGCTTGACTGCTTCGTGCAAGAGATGGGACTGTGCATAGTAAGGAGTAATTACTTTAAGAGAAAACATGTTTTTCAAGACACTTGAGTCACCTTGAAAACCGATAAGCAGATCTATCTAGACGTCGTGGATTTTTACAGGTCTTAGAGTTGTTTGTTTGTGACATAGATTAACTATGTTTATGAGCAGGAATCAAGCTGATGGAGTGAGTAGTTGGAAAAGAGATATATCTTTACATGTAATGATAGTTTTAGCCAGATTTTTTTTGTTAGTGTAAACCCACGGAAAAAACTAAGTTTTATTTGTGATGTCAAAGCCGGAAAACTCGAGTGAGCAGTAAGCCTTCGTTTTACCGCTTGGTTTAG